GCGGCGCGAGTGGACAGTCCGTTTCTATTAGCCATGTCATTTCCTGCCAAGGTGTTGGAATACAACGTCCGGTTCGGAGACCCAGAGACACAATCGTTGCTTGCGCTCATGGAAAGCGATCTCGCACTCGTCATGCTAGCATGTGCAGACGGCCGCTTACAAGACGTCGATGTCAAAGTTTCGGCGAAATCCGCAGCAACCGTCGTCGTAGCCGCTGGTGGCTACCCAGGCAGTTATGCAAAGGGTATACCCATGACGCTCGACGCTGTGCCTGACGGTAAGCAGTCCCCTTGCTTTCCTTCGCCTTTCCCCATTCAGACATAGGTTTTCCCCAAGTGTTCTTCCTCTCCCTCCTAGCAAACTTTTCCCTGGGTAGTGCCACAGCCTGGCTAATTCAAAACCCACAGACGTCGTTCTCTTCCACGCCGGAACCAGCTTCTCAGACGGCACGCTCAAGACATCTGGAGGCCGTGTTATAGCCTCGACGGCGACGGCGCCCTCGCTTGAAGAAGCAGTAGCCAAGGCGTACAAGGGCGTTGAGTGCATACATTTCGAGGGCATGCAGTTCCGGAAAGATATTGCGGGCCGAGCGTTGAGGAAGTAATAGGTAGGCAGGCTTAGGTGGAGTGTGGTGCGGTGCGGTTCAGTTCAATTCACAAGTCAATTTACGGATGAGGTAGGACATAACGACATGGGATAGCTAGGATGAGTGCCTTTTTTTTTGGGGCGTCGGGAAAGAATTTGTAAGTAGAAGGTTTGGATGAGGAGCGAAGAGGTCTGGTAGAAGATGATGAAGAATACGCTGAGCATTGTACCTATGGACCTAGGTAGGCACGCATAGTTGATACTAGCCAGAGTGCAGGCATGGGAATATATACCTACCCTCCTACCTACCTACATCTTTAATGTATCCTCATGAATCAGAAGAATCATTAGTATGAGCCTCATATGCATTGAAAACACACCTGCTATGCCTCTTCATCAAAAGGAAGTTCATGGCGGACGCATTATTAATACCTTTCGCATAGCGGTATGGGTGAGGTCAAGCGCTGTTGCTGTCAGACTTGAGCTTCATATTCTCCTTGTCCTTTTTCTCTTTTTTCCGCTTCTTCTTCTTGTCAGACGATGCCTCGTCGTTGTCGCTCTTTCTTTTCTTCGGCTTGTCTTGGCAGTCCTTGGTCTCTGTGACATCCTGTGCACCATTCGCACCGGTTTTGGGAACTGTCTCTTGACTAGACTCTCTCACGCCATTCTCGACAGTTGCAGCTGGCTCTTTCACTCCTGCCCCTCCATTAGCTGCCTCTCTCTCGGCGTATTCCTTGGCCAACGCCTCTTTTTCGAGCCTCTTAGACTGGAGAAGTTCGGCCTTCTTCTGCGCTGCGTCCTTGACTACTGCGCTGTTCCTGATAGCTGCGGTCGCAGCGGCTATGCCGGCCTGGCTTTTGTTCTGTCCCTCTCCACTGCCAATCCACTCATCCTCGTATCCCCAACCCGTCAGGTAGATGCCAATGTAATATCGCTGGATACTCCCCGTATCAAATGTCATCGGCTTGTCTTCCCGGTACTGCAATGTAACGCCCTTACACATGACCAGCTTACTCAACTCGTCTTTTGCTTTAGGGTTCTCTATCACCTTGGCTTGGAAGCTGAGAAGCTGCGGGGCCCAGAGTTCGGTGAGCCATTCTTCTGCGATATGGAAACCGTGCTCTGGGTCTGATTCTACGAGACCGGCAATATATGCTTCGAATATGTCCGCCGAGACCTTCATCCATGCTTTGGAGCCTCGTTCGACGAACAAACGGTGCGATAGGCGGTCAGGAAAGCCGTATGCATCGGAGAATTTGCTCAGCGTGGAATTCTCGACAAGGCGCTCGCGCCATGAGCAAAGCTCTGGAACATCGACTTGGGGGAAGCGATTGCACAGGGCGCGGGTAGCGATGAGCTCGATGTAGGCGTCACCACTATACTCGAGACGTTCGTAGTCGAGGCCAAGATCGAGTTTGGACATTGCGACAAGGTCACCTGGATTGATGACAGCTGAGCGGTGGGTGAAGACGGCTTGGTGGAGATGAGGCTCATTTATGGGCGGTAATGGTGGAAGGGCCTTTGCTGCATGAAGTTGGCGTTCGATCCAGTCAGGTATTTTGACCCTTGCTTCATTATAGGGCCGCTTCTGGTCCAGTTCTTGCTTCAACTGTGAGGATAGGAAATTGGGACGCGCGCAGAGAAGTCGGCGCAGCTCTCTGGCATGATGGAGTACATCTCGGTCTGCCTTGGGCGTTGTCTCTTCTCCTATGAATCTGTCGAGCAAGGCTACCAAACCGGTCTGTAGTTCCGGTGTCGAGAGTGGAGGCTGCGGCTTGGGGTCGCCTATGAACCCTTTTTGTTTGTGTTGGGGTTTTCCATAGCCAGTAGTTGCTTTGACGGAGTCGTCGTAGGCTGCAGTATTGTATGTCATCCGCGCGGGCTGGTGCCTCTTTCCGCCGCGCTCCATATGATTGAAGTTGCCCACACGCTTGGGTGTTGTCATTGTGAGCGCAAGCGGTACCGTAACTTGGGTTAATGATGTCGACTGTGGAGTGAGAGTCTGTGCATCTCAAAAAAGTTGCCCATGACGCGGGCGCTAGGTAGTTAGTGCCGCATGCCAAGGACACCTCCGAAATGTCCGTCTGAAGGCCGCACTCGCCCCTCGCGCAACGATTGAAGACCAGTCGCGCACAATGGCGGTCCCACGGCAACGAATACTGGACATCATGAGGGTATATGCTCTTCTCCACATCGCCATGTTGTCTCAGCTGATAAGCGCAGGTCCAATGTAGTGTCTTTAATACCACATATAACCCAGAACGCCTCCGCGTAGGATCGCGCATCCTTCACCAGCGCCTCAAGGGGCCCTCTGTCGCTTCATACTACCCACCACGTATCGGAACAATCAGTCAATTGCGATCGCTATATGGAGAGCACCAGTTGATTGACGAAGATGAGGAGGACTGGCTGGAGCATCTGAATGTTGCCAAGTCAAGAGGAAAGGGCGCACCAAAGAAGAAGAGGACTGCTGCGGGTAGGTTGACTGTCTACTATGTGTGTGTTGCGGAATGAATGCTAATTGTGTATAGAATCAAAGAAGTTCAACAAGAGGAAGTAAGCCGGTGTCGTGCAACACAGTCAACGACAAGCGATGACGGCAGTTGCGAAGCGATTGACTCCAATATCCACACTGCACAGTTCTGTAGAAGCCATATGGAAAAGGCGTTTCTGTACACTGTGCACACCTACATTTTTCATAGCAAAGTCGAAGACCTTGCACAGCACATGTCATGTGCGACATGGTGTCAATATATATCTTCTCATATCTTGCTCTCAGTGCCTCCATCTGTCTTGACACCCCACTCCTTCTCGAACTCATCGTCCCAAGGTACTCTAGCCTGACGATGTTCTGGTAATACCGGCGAGTTCACTTTATGGTGCTCAACTGTACAGAAAGTCGTTTTTCCGTCCATGCTTGTCATGTCACCTCGAATCATGGCCATCTGCTTTCCTACACTCACCACCCTGCTCTTCAGGCGAACATGTGTTCCTATGGGTACTGCCTTTAGATAGGAAATATTGAGTGAGCGAGTTACGCCGCCCATGAACTCCCAGAAGCCGGGCCGTGCAATTGGGCACAGAGCAGTTGTTGTCGCCATATCGAATATGACGCCAGCTGCGCCACCGTGCATCACATCTGCTATATAGTCAGACAGACTTCCTCTTTGATAAAGGGTTGAATACCGTCATACTGTTCAAATTGGAGAAGTTAGGGGCTATATACAGGTCATATACAACCGAGCCATCAAGTCCAGCGTCTATGAGCTTCAGATTTTCCATGATTTCACGGTCATAGTCCTTTTGATGCCTTAGCCACAAGTGCAGCAGAACACACTGGATCACTCACAATGTGGTCTTTGGGCCTCTGGGCAGCAAGCAGCTTGTACCGTTCGAACATGGCCCGCACAGCCGCCATTGCTTTCTCCCGGCCTGCAATTGCGCTACCCATCTGGGTGGAAAAAGTAGTGGCTAAATCAATCGACACCTCCTGTAAGCAGACAAGTTGACGAGTAGGATAAGTATAAGATAGTTGGGTTGGTATTGATCGTCAAGGACTGGCCATTTCGTACCAGCCACTACATACATCATCCTACGAGCCTACCAAGGTAAAGCAGAGATCGACACGAAGCTTGTACTACTCATGCGCTCGGGTAGTTTGTGAGTCACGTGTTTTGCCACTGCGTGCCAGGTGGTATTGAGCGTGGCGATAAACCAACACCATGCAGTGAGGAGCGTAGATAGCTAAATTTTGCGGTAGATTTAATAGATTCTACTCTGCTAACTATAGAAGTTATTGTTACCTTAATTATCTATTACTTTGCAAAGTTTTACCTAAAAGCTACAAGTCTCTATATTAATTACTAACTATAGTAGCTATTACTATACCTCTATAATCTAATCCTTAATATACTATTATAATAGTATACTATAGTATTAAGTTACAAGCTTCTTAAATAGATCCTTTAAGCAATCCTAAATTTGTTTAATGTAGTTAAGATCTAGTAATATAGATAGCTACACTACAGTTTTAATCTAGCTACTATACTAAGTAATTTTAGCCTCTAATAGCCTCTTTACTTTAGTATAAGGTAAGGCGTTATCTTTAATAATATATATAACGTGGCTAGTCTATTATAAAATTTAGTAGGCGTATAGGTATAGTAATAGCTTTAAAACCTGCTTATAATACTAGTACTAATTAATACCTCTAGCTCTACTATTATTTCTAGTCTCTAGCTTACGCTAGAAATGCTATTCTAGGCGACGTAGTCTGCGCAGGCAGCCACTAGGCAAAGGATTCACGCGATCTTAAAGGCGTATATTAGCGTTAAGCTCCTATAGAGCGTAGTATTATTATATACTAGGTATTATTGTAGCTACCTAATTGTAAGCTATAAGGTTAAGGTTTTCCTAGTAAAGGTAAAGGTTAGCATTATCCTTATTAATAGAAAGCAATAGAACATTCTACAGATAGTTTAGTAGGCAGGTTAGTAGATTAACAATAATCGCTACCTACCTTACTACCTACCTTACTACCTACCTACTAATATTAACACTATTTTGTACCTAATTATTATGCCTTATAGCCTTATTATTTACCTATACTTCCTCTAGAGTCTCTTTTTCCTATATATAAAATAGTCCTAGTTAGAAGCCCTTATAAACTACGCCCTAAAATATTACACTACTAAAGTTTTTAGGTAGTAGGCAGCTTAAATTAAATAGATTAGAACCTTTAAGCTAGCTTACCTTTTGCTACTAATAGTAGTAATTATAGTTAATAGAGGTTTTATTAGTAAATATAAATATTACGCCTATTAGGGACTCCCTAAGTGCCTACTCTGCAAATATTAATTAATTAAGTTAGTGTTAGGTATTAAGCTAAGGCTTTTAAGGTAGTATAGTTTAGGTAACCTCCTCCTACTTTAATACCTTATAACCTGTGGTATATAGTATATATACCCTAAGCTTATTACTTACTTTGTTAATAATATACTAATAAGGGGTCTCCTAGTTATTATTACTTACTACTATCTCTACTAAGGCGTTAGCAACGTTAGAGCCCTTAGGGAACTATTTATAACAACTGCAGCAAGTCTCCTTTAGTAGGAGTTAAAGTAGTTAGGCTAGAGGCAGAGAACGTAAAGCTACTATATAGGCTATACTAGCTTAATTAAGGAGTCTCTTTATAAATATATACGCCCCTATAGGCAAGACAGGCAGCTATTTTAATATTGCAGTCTACCTAATACCTTAATAATAAAGGGTAATAATAGTAGAGCGCGTCTTGCGCGAATACTTAACACTATAAGGCATCTTAAGCTTAAATACTGCGGCCAAAATTGATAGATTGTGTGGTTAAGGATGCTTCGTTTCGCCACAGTGGGTCCAATCACATGACTCACAAACTAGGCGAGATAATGAGTATGCAAGTGGTCGTGCCTCGGTTGGCGCTGAAGTAAACCACTCTGCGGGTAAGGCTAATCACTCACTCTATCGCTACTTACTACGTAGCTTGTTGGAAGAGAACACCAATGTCACAAAGAAGATGATACTCGATCATGACTCGGGGGCGATATGGATATGGCAGTACAAGTGTCATCTGTCTTGCTCTGCCTGTAAGTGGTCCCTCATCGTTTCAGGGCATGTAGTGACTAGGTAGTCCGTCTCGTTCCGCAGACAGCCGTCCGCCGCGAGCGTTGGTCTTGGACTCTTCGCAAGGCTTGACCCACTAGAGGAACCATGTTTCATACCGGCTCCACGGCGCGACTTTCGTAATGGTCCGCCTCATACACACTATGAGGGTAGTAGCTTACGCGCCGCCCAATGAAGACATAGCACAGCGCGTGCTATTTGCAGCTCTATACATACGTAGTAGATTGTACGCTTCCGACCAAGCTGGCCAGATCTTCCCCCGCCTCCTTTTGCTTTTGATTGCTTCGTGACACTTAAAAACCAGACAGTGAGCTGTGAAAGCGGTGACAACCACGTCCATCCGCATTTTCCGCTTGCGCCAACCCCTGTGTTGAGGATCAAAGATGGGTACAGAAGCAGCGCCAGTGTCTGCGACACTGCGGAAAAGAGTGTTGAAGGTGCTCTTCATATCTCTCCTCCTTGACTTGGTACGTCACGCATTGCCCTCTGTGTCACCCATGACCACGATGTAAATTGACAAGACACAGATTTCCTTTACTTTCATCCTTCCCTTATTCCCCAAACTCATCGAGTTCTACCGTAACCACGAGACTGGCGATCCGAACACCGTCCTGTCCAAGGTCCTGCTTGGCCTAAACGCATACAAGAACTCGTTCGCGAAACCGATCAACTCCCGCTACGACATCGTCCTGCTCGGCGGAGCGTTGGGATCCTTATTTTCCCTCTGCCAGGCCGTCGCCTCGCCATTCATTGGGACACTTTCAGACAAATATGGCAGACGCACCGCACTTTTGTGGTCCATGTGCGGCAACATCCTCAGTGTTGCTCTGTGGGTTGCTGCGACCGACTTCCGAACCTTCCTCGCAAGCAGAGTTGTGGGTGGATTGAGTGAGGGCAATGTGCAGCTGGCAATGGCAATTGCAACGGACATTAGCGATGAGAGCCAGCGAGGGTCGACAATGGCGCTTGTTGGAGTATGCTTCAGCATTGCATTTACATTTGGGCCAGCCCTGGGCGCCTACCTCTCTACACTACAGGTCATGGAGAAGAACCCGTTTGCCATGGCAGCTGGATTCTCGCTTTTCTTGATCGTCTCCGAGACCATCTACCTCTACTTCTGTCTCCCCGAGACGCTACCCTCGGCCACCGCAGCGCAGAATGGCAATGCAAACAGCAAGACCAATGGGCATACGGAGAAAGCCAATGGAGCACCACGGCCTCGCGTGCGAACCAACTCACACTTTGTCCTCAATGCTACTCACTTTACCTTCATCCTCTTCTTTAGCGGCATGGAGTTCTCCCTGCCATTCATGACGTATGATCTCTTCTCATATCAAGCAAAGGACTCGGGCCGGCTTCTCGGCTTCATCGGGCTTGTAGCCTCGCTCCTACAGGGCTCCGTTGTACGTCGCATGCACCCGTTGAAAGTGGTGCAGATGGGCGTCGTAAGCTGCACAATCGCATTCCTCATTCTTGGGCGCGTACAGACGCAGGGCGCATTGTACGGCGCTGCTGCACTTCTGGCCGTGACCAGCGCCACCGTTGTTACTGGGCTGAACAGCTTATCGAGCTTCGAAGCAAGTGCAGATGAGAGAGGCAATAAGTTGGGCAATCATAGAAGTTTTGGTAAGTCATCATGTCCACAGACGCCGAGACCCATTGCTGACATATGAACAGGTCAGATTGGCCGGTCTCTTGGTCCTCTTATCTTCTGCTCGCTATACTGGTGGGCAGGCCGAGAGACGGCATATGCAACAGGTGCTGCTGGAATGGTCGGAGTGGCTGCGTTGGTGTTTACAGGATTGAAGGTGCCACCTGGCACAGAAAATGTCGGCAAGAAGGTGAAGACGACAGCGTAACGGAGGAAGTGAGGCATGGATGCCACTGCGCTTCTCTCAATTCAGTCTCGATTTGCGATTTGATGATCCAACGCACAGACAATTCCCGCCCATGATCTTACCATCCATGTAGTCGTGTCTCTTCTCCCACTCTCAGTCAGTCCATCGCCAGTCATATCAGTAACCACATTTCGAACAACCATGCTCCCCACAAAATGCCCACACAAAGTCTTCAAACGTTCGTTCTAGATTCGGGGAATACCAACACCGCTGTACAACCGGCGGCCGGACACAGCGCTCCGATCCCGCCCCCGCACTCATGCGCCCACAGCACGACCAGACTGCTGACTCGAACCTCGGCAAGTTTTACCTCCTTTCTGGGAGCGATGCTCGGGCCATGAACTGTTGCCAATTGATGTGCAGCTTCAATAACTCCTGTGCTGATCCCAATCACTTTCCTTGACTTCAGCATTGCGGGATCCGGCCTGGTTTGCCTCTTCGATCCTCTCCTGTCCCTACACAACACAAGAAGCACACCGGTGTACGCAACATGGACACGACAGTCGCTGCTGCATCACTAGCAGCTGTCTCCGGATTGGCCGCATATCTGAACGCAAAGTACCATATCGCATCGGATCTCAAACTCGTGAGGTTTAAGAAGAGGGCCGCGAAATATTATGCTGAGCTGGGTACGATTAAAACCCCAATTGAATACTCCGCAATCATTCGCCGGTTCAATTCGCTTCTAGGATTTAGGTATTAACATTGTGATACAGTGAGGACAAACCGGCAAGCTCTCTGGTATCCTTTTGCACTCCAAGTATCAAGATACAGCAACACCCTTTGCATCTGGTCACGAGGAAAGACCTATACATGGCAACAAGTCCACGACCGCGCCGCGCAATGGGCGCAGTTCTTCCTTGCCAACGGCGTGAAACCTGGCGACATGGTTGCTACCTACATGATGAACAATGCCGACTTCATGGTCATCTGGCTGGGCCTGTTTGCTATTGGTTGCGCGCCAGCTCACCTGAATTACAATCTCAAAGGCGAGGGGCTGATCCATTGTCTCAAGGTTGCGGGCGTCAAGATGATTCTTGTAGACTGTGATCCAGATTGTGTTGAGCGTTTCGAAGGCTGCAAAGAGCAGGTGGAGCAGGAGTTGGGTGTTAAGCCATTCATTGTTGATGACGCACTGCTGGAGAAGATTTATTCGGGGCCTGTTGTTGTGCCTGGAGACGAGTACCGGGAGAATGTTGTGGGGTCGGATCCGACGTGTTTGTTGTACACTTCTGGGACTACGGGCCTTCCTAAAGCTGGAAAATTCATGGTCAGCCGGTACCATGAGCGAGGCAACCCGGACGATCTTCTGTTCAATCAAAAACCTGGACCCAACGGCGATCGATGGTACTGTTGTATGCCTCTTTTCCATGGAACTGGCGGTCTGGCTACTATGGCGGCGTTGACCAGTGGCATGAGTGTAGCCATTGGTCGCAAATTTTCTACCAGTACGTTTTGGGACGATATCCACGATTCGCAGTCCACGATGTTCATCTACGTTGGCGAAGCCGCGCGGTATCTACTCATGGCGCCTCCACACCCACGCGAGCGAGACCACAAGCTACGGGGCATGTACGGCAACGGTATGCGGCCTGATGTTTGGAACCGGTTCAAAGAGCGTTTCAACGTGGCCGAAGTGATCGAGTTCTTCAATTCCACAGAAGGTGTTCTAGCCATGAATGTGTATTCTAGGGGCCCTTTCACGGCAACAACAGTGGCCCAGCATGGCGCAATCATCCGGAAAGCGCTACACGACGTATATGTGCCAGTGCCAATTGACCCAGAAACTGGCGAGCTTGTACGCGATCCCAAGACCGGATTCGTCAAGCGCAACTCGTACAATGAGGGTGGTGAAATCCTTGTCAATATACCTAGCGAGGAGGCTTTTGCAGGATATCACAACAACCCCGAGGCAACGGCAAAGAAGTTTGTGCGCGATGTATTCAAAAAGGGCGACCTTTACTACAGATCTGGCGATGCGTTGAGGAGAGACGATGACGGCCGATGGTTCTTCCTCGACAGATTGGGCGATACATTCCGATGGAAGAGCGAGAACGTGTCTACCGCTGAAGTTGCAGAGGTTCTTGGAAAATACCCCGGTGTTGGCGAGGCCATTGTCTATGGTACTCTTGTACCCCGACACGACGGCCGTGCTGGTTGCGTCGCTCTGCGGCTTGCAGATGGCGTCAGTACGGAGTCTTTTGATTGGAGAGGTCTGTTGCAGTATTCGAAGAGCAAGTTGCCCAAGTATGCGGTGCCGGTGTTCATCAGGCTTGCTAGTGTGGGGAGCAATACGGACAACCAGAAGCAGAACAAGGGTCCTTTGAGGGAAGAGGGTATCGAGATCGACAAATATGGATCGAAGGTTGTAGGAGGTGCGAATGATCCGGTCATGTGGGCGAAGCCTGGTGCGGGTACGTATGTGAGGTTTACGATGGACGATCTGTTGACGTTGCGGGATGGGAAAATCTTGATTTAAAGATTAAGTCATTACACTCTATCAGTGTATACTGTCAATATGTATCTGCTATAGTATTACTACTATTATGAGTTAGGATCAGTTTACTGATTTTCACTGGCACCCATACACTTGAGCATGAATTCTACAACCTCATGCATGCCCTCAGGTTCTTGCAACCAATGCCCTCCCTTTTCAAAATCTCGCCATTGTACCCGCATACCCCATTCCTCTAATTTATCCCTCAATCTTTCGCCGTTACAGATAGGCACCACCTCGTCATCCCTGCAGTGCTGTAACAACACCGGCGTCCCCACAAAATGCTTCATTCTCCCGGGCACATTCATCACATCCCTCATCTCTTCCACTAATGGCAACCACCCAGCTAACCCGACAAACCCACCAACACCCCATCCACTGGTCAATAGCGTGAAAATCGCCGTCGCACAGCCCTGAGAGATGCCTGCGAGGATGATATTTTGCATACCACCCACCCTCTGAGCCTCCTCTTCCATCACCTGTCGCAGCGCTGCAACACTCTCCCATAGCCCGGGCCGCTGTACCTCGACATCCTCCTGCGGCCGCTGGACAGAACTCATATTGAACCATTGATGCACTTCTTCCTGGTCGAGTGCCGAGTGACTCTTTGGAGCGCATGGGAATACCCATTTCAAGCCAGGGCACCGGGTAGTGAAATATTGACCATCAGCAGTCCGAGACACAAAGAGTTCTTCGGCAAAGGTTTCGGCGTCGCTGCCGCGGCCATGCAGGAAGATTATTGTGTGAGTGTGGGCTGAGGTTGCGGGTATGATGTGTGGTTGTTGAGGTGAGGTTGTTGATGGGGTCTTAGTTGGGGATGCTGGCGGATTGGGGTCCTTTGTGGAAAGAGATGATTGATACATATCCACAGAAGTGTCTATCTGCTACACTGATTCGTCGGTTGCGAAGTGGAGGTGATTTACCAGAATGTAGGCTAGCAAAGTCGAGATTGTGTGTGAATTGAAAGTCGGGTGAAAAAGCAACGCGGGTAGATTCTGGGCACATGGACCCTGATAAGCCATGTCAAGTTACCCAACTTCCCTGACGTTAGTCCCGCTTGCTGTCCTTTGTGTCGCAATTGCCGAAGTTTTTCTTTGATCGCTCATGGCAAACTTCGGATTGTGTGCATGATTCGAGACTTTTGTTGGCAACTTGGAGATCCTTCTCGTTTCATCTCCAGGTTCCGCAGCATTCCGATGTCCAAGACACAGCGATGTGTAGGTAGGTAGCACGTGCCGCTCACGCACGACCAATTCTTGGGCTACCGGTACCGGTACCTGTTAAGAAGTCTTGGACGGAGAAGACAGTCTGCTTTTATACCTAGTGACTAGACTACACAACTTGCTCACGCAAGATAGACGAATCACGCTTCACCCTGCAACGACAAAATGGTAACCCGCTTAGCAAAAGACGTGGCATCATTGGCTCGCTAGCCCCCCCAAGCAGGGCAACTTTCTCATGAAATGCTCCACTCCTCACGTCTGGGCATACCCGCCATGCACTTCAGTAGAGAAGAAAACCCCGTCGAGAGTCCCTACACATCATGGAAAGATACTACCACTTCTTCTCAGATCGCGATGACGAGCGCAGAAACGCGTCTGGTGCGCAAGCTGGACTGCTTCATCCTGGTGTACTGCTGCGCTGCGTACTTTTTCAATTACCTTGACCGTTTGTCTTATCTGACCTCCAAACAAGGCTTTTTTTGCGAAGCTGTGGAACTAATCTGACTGTTTCTTAGGTAGTGCATTTGCTAATGCCTATGTCTCTGGATTGAAGGAGTCGCTGGGTCTCAAGGGCAATGAGTACAGCATCCTGCTATCCATGTTCACGGCGGGTAGCTGTGTCGGGCAAATACCACATGCACTTATCATCCAGAAGTTGTCTCCGCGCTTTTGGCTGCCCTTCACATTGATTGTGTGGTCTGGCTTGACCATGTGCTCAGCCGCGTGTAAGACGTACGAGCAGCTTGCTGTGGTTCGTTTCTTTCAGGGCTTCTTCGAAGCAAGCTTGTATAGCGGTACGATTTACATCCTTGGGTCTTGGTAGTAAGTGTGATATGCGAAAGTTTTGACTGAATGGTTACTCATGATTCCCAGCAAGCCATCGGAGATTGCAAAGCGAACTGCAATTTTTACCGCAATTGGTCAAATTGGGAGCATGTTTGCTGGAGTGATGATGACGGCGATGAATCAGAGTCTGCACAATCAAACCTCACTAAAGGGATGGCAATGGGTCTTTATTATCAGTAAGACTTGCGAACCTCCCAGTCTTATACTGAGTTACTGAACAACCGAAGATGGTGCTATGGGAATCCCATTTGGCATTTTTGGGCTGGCCTTCTTTCCCAACCTGCCTGAGTCGACCACCGCGCCCTACCTCAGCAAGGAAGAGATTCAACTCGCCCTCGACCGACTACCACCCAAAAAGGACTGGGGCCACGACATCAGCATCAAGTCACTTGTCAAGCGGCTTTTTGCCAACCCTGACTTCTACGTTCTTACCGCGTACTCCATGATCGGCTGCGCCCTCGAAGCAATCGTTCTGCAAGGCCTCTTTCTTCTCTGGATGAGGGACCATATCGAACAGTTTCCACCCCACGCAACGACAACATACCCACTTGGAATTCAAGCTGTCTCTATCGTGTCAAACATAGGCGCTGGGTACGTCATTGACATTACGAACCAGCGTATACCAATGGTTGCACTCGCTGGAATACTACAACTTATCGTGGCCATCATGCTCCTGGTACCTACCTTGCCAACTGCCGGGGTGTTCTTCGCCTTCTACCTGTCGGGTACTTCGTATATCGTGAATCCCATTATATACGGCTGGGCGAGCGTCATCTGTCAGCGTGGCGGTGATGATGCTTCTAGATCAGTCATTCTTTACGTTATGAGTATGGTACAATCCATGTAAGTCCATGTCTTTTGACTCACAAGCACGAGCTCTGCTAACAATTGGCCGAAACTCAGACTTTACACCTTCTGGGGCATCGCATTCTACCCGGCGACTGATGCACCGTACTGGAAGAAAGGATATATAACGATGATTGTCGTTGTGTTTGCATTTTTTGGTGCAACCGCTGCTGTGCAGTGGGTAAGTTGTATCTGTTGATAGATTGATGATATGTATTGCTAACGGCATGCTCAGCTGGACAGAAGATCGCGAAAATTGAGCGACGTCTCTGATGATGACGACCTGATAGCCCCAGAGGCGACGTCGAGTTGTCGTAGTAAGAGTGATTGATTCATGTGCTAAGCAAAGCTCTTGTACACCATGTTACTTGTTGACATACTGCATGGTCAATCTTGCGACAAACCAAGAATAAAGTCGCATATACATGTTCCCGCAATCTGTAGTACCCAAGTAAAAAATGCGACATGTCCTTCAATTTACAACCAAAAAACCTGAGCAGAGTCCTCTTCCAGACTGCACAGTCCAACCTTCCTACAACGTAACCTTGACAACCTTGCCCACACTCGGCGTCCCACTCGCATCCATAGCAAACAACAACCAAAACCCGGGCAACGCAACCCCCGCGTCCCCCGGAATCGTCACACTATAACTATTCCCACTTCCCCCCATGACCAACGCAATCCGCCTCTGATCCGTATTCACCGTATGCGTCGCCGACCCGAACCTCACCAACGCAAACCCCACCACAGCCACACTCGTCTCCACACCCAGCGAAGCGCCCAGCCTAACCGTCGCCGCAACCCGAGTAATCACAGGACGACTCCGCCTCGTCCCATCAGCATTCAACAGGTACGGGGGCACGAAAATCTCCGCGTCAAAGTGATTCGACGCCGGTGTACCGCCGTACATGGTACAAGTACCACAGAGACCGCCGCCGCCATTAAACACGGTGGCGTCGGGCAGGAGGATGGCAACGGAGTGGTAGTTGCGCGGGATGGTCATGGGGTTCAGTCGCGTCCAGGTTCCTGTGCTTGGGCTCCAGAGCTCAGGCTCCATGGCAGAAGCGTCGTCTGTGAAGGGTTTGGCAAAGGCCTGGCCGCCGGTGACGAGGACGGTGCCGTCGGGGAGGACGACGGCGTTGGCGAAACTGCGGGCGTGGGTCATGGATTGGGTTTTTTGGACTGGGGGGGAGGTTTTGGGGGTGTTGAGGGTGATGATGTGGGCGTTTGGGTGGGCGGGGTCGTTTTCGTAGTCTGGGTGCCGGTATGTTAGTATATATATGTGTATGTGTATGTGCAATAGGGGTATCCTAAGAGTCGAAGGGCGGGTATGTTTTGTGAACTGGAACCATCTTACCCGTGGCTCCGCCAGCAGTCAGGATCTTACCAGCGACGGCATCGTACATGACCGAGATACCATTCATAGAATCCATATCGTTCAACCGGTTTCCAGCACCAGTCGTGCTACCACTTCCAACAGTATCGTACCAGTTCATGGCAATCGAAGGCCCAGCTTGAAACACCGTCTGATTCTTCCACCCAAACAGCCAGGCATGATTGTCAGCACGCCAGATACCACCTCTATCTTGGGTGAGCATGGGGCTGACCAGAGCACCGGGGAGCAGAGTCCATGTGTTGCTGGCTGGGTTGTATATCTCGCCGTTCTTGCCACCTGTTCCGCCGCTCCAGGAGCCGCCAATGTTGAATATGCGGCCGTCGGAACATGTGGTGGTGGATTGGTATCCTCGTTGTATCTTCACTGGGAAATGGTACAGCGTCAATGTTTGCTACCAACATGCTAGGAACCAGGATTACATGTCGAAAGGATAGCGCGTAGTTCACTAACTTACTATCAGAACCCCCCGTCCACGCATTACTTGCATAATCATATATACTCGTCTTGGCCGCATTACTCCCTCCAGTCACAACAACTCTGCCGTTAAAGTCGAGCGAGATGCCGGGGCAAAACATGTCGTGATATGTATGCGACACCTCGAGTTGACTGGATTCTCCCGAGACGGGATCGTACATGCCCGTTTGCGTCTGTGTATCTAGTCAGCCACATGGCTCTCATCACACCGCGGATCTAAGCACTTGCCAAACCCCTGGCTCCTCCGAAATCATCTTTGGCATAGGCGGACCAGATGAGCACCTTGCCATTGGGCAGGAGGGATACCGCTGCGGGTACGAGAGGGAAGTCGACCGTCTTCTCCCATAGCCCTTTGCCTGCAATGGGAGCCGCGTATGCAGCCGTGTCTTGGAAAATGTTGATGTCTGCTATGGCGATGGAGGAATCACTTGCACCCTCTGCCTCCTTCGTAGCCGTGATTCTCACGTAGCGGGCTGGCCTTGTAACAAAAGTCGTCTTCTTGACGGCGGCATCGTTGTTGTAAGTTCCGAGAGCAGCGAGCTGCCAATTCGAATTGTCTGTACTGACTTCAACCTTGTGGCCTCCGACTCTGCCGTTGGTATTGGCTGCGGGCCGCGGTTGGATGCTGATTGCTTGGACGTTGTATGTAGCTTTCATGTCCACCACAATCCAGTGGGGCAAAGGAGCAATGGGGGCGGGCGAGTACTTGGAGTGCCAGAATGTGTTTGGATCATTGTCCAAGGCCTTGGTCGGTTCATTGCCAATTTGGAAACTGTTGGCCGTGGCAGTCCAGCCAGTCCGGCTCAAGGCAACATTTGCAGCAAAGGTGACGCTTGCGAACAACAAAAGAATTCTAAAAAAGTACATGATAATGAAGAAAACGGAGGACTTGGAAGAAATTGAGTGATCGACGAAGATCTGAACTCAGGTGCTTTAGCAGACTTGAGTTTGTCTTGGGGACTCATACTTATACCAGGATATCGACACTGTTCTCTTAGAGACGCCTTCGAGATTTGAGAACCTACCGTCGTGATCCCGCGGAGTCTTTGTAGATAATGGCGTTGCTCCAACCTGCACAAGTCTAGTGATCATATGCAAGCCCAAAGGCAACATTTCCCATGTACGATAAGCATTTCATAGAAGTTCATCGACATAAGGTCTGGAAACGAGGTTTTGGAGGCTTGATAGTTATTGAAAAGCATGCAGAAATGCTCCTTCGCGAGCCTGGAACGCAATGCTTTGATCATGGGAACAATGATCTACTACGGATAGGCGCAGCCTTAGGTTGTCCTCATCTGGAAGGCCCAGAATGTCATCTAACAGGATGCATAGGCGTTCGATTCGTTCTAAGTTTGCTTCTTTTATTTGTTCATGCTCTCGTGGATAAGGTTATGAGACGTATTACTGCCTTACATATGCTATATGCGATCATTTTTTACATGAGAAAAGTCTTAGCAGTATGCTTCACCATATGACTGCGCATGGTAGTCATCCAGAGACCAGGCTCAAGGTGTCTGCTACTCTGTTACCGAGCTTACAGCAGCTGGTCACGAGTAGGTTGCGGATCGTGTGGCGTTTTGAACATTTATTGCATGTAAGATGACTCCAGTCCTGGTATTGGCCACGCGAGCGCCAAGTGCATAAGCCAGGCACGCGGGCCTTACATAGTAGTCCGGGAACAAGGGCGTCGAACTCTTAGGATAAGCAGGATTCGATTTCGATAAAAAGTGCATGAAAGGTGTAAGACGCCTAAACGTGATGGTGGGGTGCGGGACGTCTGTCAAGGCTGCAGGTACGTAGTCATCCTGGCCAATAAGCGTCCGTTCAAGTCATATGTGTGGCGTTTTGAAGCACAGTGAGTAACGAATATGTCTTCGTTGGTGCTGTCTGGAGGCCAGTATCCTTAGAACACGGGATCAATCGATGTTTCCTGCATGTGAAGGGCTCGATCAAGTCAAGACAATGCAGTCAATCCATGGGGTCGATCAAATCCGGCATTTCTTCGTCTTCCTCGTCCTCGTCATCGCTGTTTTCGTCGGTCCAGATGTCTCCTTCAGTATCGTACCTTTCGGATATGCTTCCATCATAAAGCGCGGCAAGGCTCGAGCTGATCCCTCCTATCTCACCGACGAAAGTGTCAATTCCACATTCAACCCACAATCTCCACCAAACCTTTTCCACGTATGTGGTAAAGAAATCGGAGGACATTCCAACGTCGAGTCTGCATGAAAGTACCATCTTCGAAAAGGAAGGGAGTTCGCGGCTGATATTGGTCGAGAAGTCTAGAAATCCGGTCGCCCATTCCAAAACTTCTTCATAAGGGTGTGTTATTTCCAGGTATTCTAGTTTTTCCGGGAGACCCTGGAGTGTAAAGTGCTATCATCAGCACATGTGGCATGGAGATCATCTGCATGGAACTTACCCTCGGTTTGCATGACTTGCCTGGAGGAGCAGGCAATTGACCAAGGTGCAAAGAAGAGGAGACGAATAGAAATTCTTGGGGTATCGTCAATCGCTTTAATGCAGTGAAGTGTTTCAGCGACTCTTTAGGCTCGATGCACATCTCCAGCACCCACTCTAGCTCGCCTTCATCATCCCACGGCTCAAAAGTGATACTCAGGCTTTCTAAAGTCTGCTCGACGCTGCACAATTGGTCCATAAAATAACCGGTCTCTAATTGCGTACCAAGCTCATCATCCAGGTGGTATCCGTCATTGATCAGCAGGATTGTGAGCTCGGTTAATTGCTGACAGCCAAGTGCATCGAACATATTGCTGAGTTGAATGTCGGCCTTCTCTACATGTAGGGACTTCAGTACATATATTCAAAACTCTTGCTGACAAGAAAAGCACTTACTAGAGGACGGTCCGCGAACTGGATGGAACAGGTCATCGCAAGCTTGCGCAGTCGTTCAGTGCCCTGCAGGCAGCCAGGACCATTTAAGCGGAGGACGGTGCCTATCGAAACTGTTTTCAAATCTAAGCTAGTGAGGCTGGGAAGCTCAAGACCGCATTTGAGCATTTGCGTGTCGCCCAGTGTTAGATGTTTGATGCCTCTCCATCCATATGCCAATGAGGCTGGCGGACACGTGCTACCGAATAAACCGGTAACGCACTCGCTTGAAGTTGGCCCTCGATGGTGATCCTTGACACAAAAGTCCAAACGGACGAGATTTGGGAGCTGTAGGAGCAACAGTCCTCCAAAAGCAGATTCGATCGTATTTTCAATCGAGCGCCACCATGGGTGACTCTTTCCGTAGCCCAATTCTTGTAATCTTAACAAGGAACGGTCGCGCAATGATGCCAACTCAAAATCTTGACTCTTGTAGAGCTGGGAGATGTCTTTGCGTGCTGTCCTGAATCGCAACAGGCGCACCTTGCAGGCTAGATCAGGACGGTTGAAAAGAGTGCGTAATAGCCTCAACGCGGCGTTGACCTTGGGGTGACAACCACATGACACCGAGAGATTCGCAAAAGTGTGAAGTGTTTCTTGAGCTGCGGGTCGGAACTTGCGTGAGACCAGAGAGAAATTCTTGAGGTGCTGAGGCGTGCCTATTGACTTCAATCAAAAGATGCGCTTTGCTTCACGCATGGGACTTTATGTTACCAGAATCAGAAAGATGTGAAGCGACAAGCATAAGAAGCTCTTCCGGAAGTCGGAAGATGGCTGGCATATCGGTGGCCGCCATGGCCGTCTTGGGGCTGTGTGGGGAAGCAAAGTTGGAGACGGGAAATGCGGCCGAGGCCGATGTCTGGCACCAGGAGAGGAGAATCACGTGCCTCGTGGTCGTCACACCTGGGGGCAGTCTCGTCTTCGACGGGTGCGCCAAGTGTTCAGTTGGATCTGGCCATCAACCACTCACTGTACTGGTTTCCGTAGCAGGTCGCGCGAAGATTGAAAAGGCTTGCCATGAACAAAGTGTAGAGAACACGCAGCAAACATCGACTCAGGGTACCGGCACGGTAACTACGGCAGAGGTACGTCAAGTTACTGTGTGATGACGTAACACGGGCAGCTGCTTCACCAAGCTGGCATCAGTTCCAGTCTGAGGAAGTCAAGATGGCCATGGCCATTCAGTCATTAAGATTCTTCTTCTTTGGGGTATCTCAACCCGTGCACCGACTAACGTTTGCCCTACTTCTCCTGGTTTTGTGCAGGTTGGGTCCGTCTATCACGCAGGTACACCTTGAGCAGGAACCGCAGACTGGTGAAAACGCCGAGTGCGCTCAGTCCGATCGCAAGATGCAAGGCATTTCGGTATCCCACAAGCTCGTCGGCGTGCGTTAGCCCACCGTTGTTGGTATTGACCTCCACTGTGCCTGCAATACCGACACCTATGCTGATGGAATAGTTGATGACCGTGTTGACCAAACTCGCAGCCATGCCTTGATGTTCCTTCTTGACCGCATTGCTCATAATCAAGTTGCCTGCGGGGAAGGACATGTCCATGCCGAACGGAATGATCAAAGTGGCGACGAACGATTGCGCCCAATAGCTTTGGTCGACGGGCATGGTGGCTGTAATAATACTACCGGTCAAGAAGGCGAGCATGCTAATGACCATGACCCACGCGGGACCGATACGCGATAAGACCATACCTGTGGTGAGAGCTGCAATGATACCAGCGACTACTAGAGGGCTCATGTAGGCCATGGAGAGTAGAGGAGTGGCGTAGCGGAGCCGCTGGAAAAATTGGATGATGTAGTAGATCCAGATACCTGTTTCGTTAGCATCGTGTCCCAACATTTGGGATGCTCTACTTACCAAATGCTGCCCATCCGCAGCACTCGCAGATCAGGACGAAGATCACGTCAGTTTTGAGTGCGTCAAAGGGGATAAGCGGCTTCGAAGAAACTTTCAGCTCGATCCAGAAGAAGACCGGGAATAGAAGGATGCCGATGAGCAACAGCACGTAGACGTAAGGGTGCTCCCAGCCAAAGCCGGGGGCCTGGTTCCAGGCAAAGTTGAACAGAATCATTGCCGTAATGCCCACCGTGGCACCTAGCATATCCAACTCTTCCAGCTTCTGCTTGAAAGAAATTCCACGTAGTTCTTCTCGTATCGGTACTGTCGGGAGGATGAAAGCTGAGAGAATGGCCAGCGCGAGCAGTCCGATTCCAAAAGTCCAGAAAGTCCAAGGCCACCAGACCAACGACCAAAGTCCACTCATTGTGCCGCCGAATACACCGCCGCCTGCAAACGGTTAATCCTTTTCTTCCTTGATGGCGTATGTAACTTACATGGTGCGCAAGCCCCAAATATCGAGAAGACCATGTCTTTCCGCAACCCTTCCTTGTATGTTGCGCCCAGCAAACCCAATGCATTCGGCAATAAGATGGCGGGTCCAATACCGCCAATCACTCTTGCAAAAATGAAGAGCACCTGCTTGCCTTGCCCATCGGCATATACGGCGCATCCAGCCACGACATTCCAGATAGCGAACCATGCGAAACCGAATATGATCATGTTCTTGTAGCCGACCAAATCTCCGCATCGCCCCGACAAAAGGATAAATGTGCCCATGGTGAGAGAGTAGCCCGCCACCAGCCAGGACAAGATACCAAGATTCGTTATACCGAGCTCATCGCCGATGACATTTATGATGTTAATCGTGCTCGTCAGAGCAAATTGTGCCACGAACTGTGCCGAGCAGAGCAGGCCAACGAAGAAGAACTCACGAAAGAAGGACATTTGCTCGACATAGGACAGTGTTTTTGCCATTTCAAGATCCATGCCATCCTTGGGGTTCGTAGAGGAATCCTGAGCGTGAGCGCCCTGGTCTAGTGTGATGCCTGATGAGGCGGGGTCGGATACATTGGTTTCATCCTTCAACACAGGGGAGCCATTGTCTCTATCCATGATTTGGCCGCAAAGCTTTCGACTTGTGATTGATTTGTTCTGTCGGTGCAAGATGCACAATCGATACAGTAGCCTGGATCCTCTCTAACTGGGTCACCAAATTATCGTAATGTCTTCTGGGGGTTGGGACTTGGTAAAGGAGCAGTAGTCGTGCAACAAGAGATGTATTAGGCCACACGAGGGTCGCTATATGCCATCTGCCGGTAGGGTTCCCAACACTTCGTCTGCATCCCAGGATTTAGACACGAATATATATGTCTTGTTACAATAGCGCGGAAGTGCATAGAAGTTCGGCATGCGGAACTTCAAAAGTGGCCGATCCGCTTGCAGCAATCCAATCCGAGAACGAACACAGACAGCGCCAAGAAAAAGAGATATATAGACGGGTAACCGCCCGCACAGCGAGTAACCGTCGATGTCCGGTTTGTCCATAGATGTGAATCCACCGGTGAGAACGTGCTCGAGTGCCCATGCGCCCAGGAGGTTCTCAACCGTATCCACCAGGCGATCTTCTGACAAGCAGACGAGTCTCCGCCTCGGGACAAGCCTCGTTCATTGGTAGGTACGGTACCGGTAATCCAGGAAGGTCCAAGTACAGATCTAGGTACGTAAATGGTAGATATGGTACAGTAGGTTTTTAATCACCCCTGTTACCCCACGCAGGTGTCTAAGTGAACTCAATACCTACCCCTACACTCTACAATTCATCCTCTATATCATCTGTAATCTTATGAACATGGGAACAGGTAAAGTATTCTGGCCAGTGTGGGTCCTTAGGTACAAAGTGCATGTTCATGTCTTGACGGTTGCATGTTCTACAGTCGAAAGAAGCACATCTCGTTCGAATGACCCACTGATGTGCGGTCAAACGGGGCTTTGATCGCAGCTGCAGTATAAACGAAGTGGAGATGGCATCTGCGGAATGTTGCCAAAGCAACATGACTGCAGCTGGCCATTCCTACTCATGTGATTGGTATCCGGAACTCCGAAACAACACCGAGGACAGACTGGGTGAACTAAGCCACCTGGAACAAGAAACGATAGCCAATCTACCGTACTCTCCTCCCTCTTTCCCAGCACAATTCTAACCACAGTTGGTGCAGCCATGCTACCTACCCCAGGCAGAGCATGTTCGATCCTAGCACAACCGTACTGCTGTTAGCGTGCAGTAGTTCACTCCACCAGTCTTCCCGCATCTGACATGATGCTTCCTGTTTTGCCAGCCAGACACGCAGACCGCTCACACGTTTCAGCACTGGTGATAATGTGCCCTTGTCTCCCTCACGGATAGGTACGACTCGTTGATAGAGACGATCCCGTCGGTCTGAGTTTGTGGTGACAGTCGCAATGAACAGCGGCCAAATGGGGTAGATTGCGGTGTAGAGGCTACCTTTGACTGGAAGGGACAAAAGCAGTGATTGTAGAGCATCTGAGAGCCGGAGAATGGAGGGATGGAATCGAGTATACCTGAACGAAATTAGTCGGAGCGCTACTTGGCAATATTGGCTGACTCGCCCGTAAATACGGCATTGGAGGTATAGCAAGGTTGCGAGGCGGAAGCACTCAGCTGTAGCAAGCAATATTTCCTCCCGTGGGCCTTGATGTTCCAGAGTCCATTGCTCCAACTCCTTCAGCTTCGACTCTATTCTTTGAGCTCGCGAGAAACTCTCGGGGGTACTGGTGCTGGTCGCAATGGCGTTGATCGACGAAATAAGGAATACAAGCTCAGGGGATACTCCGAGTATTCCACATATTCTTTGCGACTCTTTCGGTACCACATCTACAAGCCAGTTTGACCTTTCAAAGGAATGGAGGGAGGCTGCTTGTAGTTGAGAGGAAGTCTGTGCTGAACGAGCTAGAATGATTTGAGTGCGGATGAACATCGCTGTGTCCGAATGCTGATCAAACAGTCCAGAGGGAATGGCATCGAATATGTTGGCATGGCACGACCAGCATAGCGGCGAGTCCTCTTGATTGAGAGCCCCCTGATGCATCAGTAACATGCTGGTAGCAAGAGCTCCCTCATAGTCCTCCCTAGTGCGAATTTGCGCCGCGAGTGCGCTTATGGCTCGGGAAGAGTAATACAGCTCGGCTTGGTGGTACAAATCATACTCGCCAGGACGGAAATCGCGAATGTAAACAGCGGCTAGGCTCAGGATGGCAAAGCGAATGCTCAAGCATGTGTTCAATTTCTGCAGCAAAGTCACGTACACGTTTGACTGCGCCGCAACTGTCCGACCGGGACATATCGCATTGACGTAGAAGTCGATTAGAATCTGCTCCAGGTTTTCTGGGTGATGAAGATGGAGACCCGAGGGCCAAGATTTTATTAGGCCTGTAGGGTTAGAGTCTTGTGAGGAAGTGCTACAACCTGATCTGACTGAGGAAGAGGTAAAAGGACTGCTGGAGTTGGTTTGTAGTTCCTCAGCGTCGACTGCATGAGGCTCGACTGGCTTAATTAGCTTGGGTGATCTCCTTCATCATTGCCGGTCGCATACCTCGCGCCTCTGTGGAGCCCGAGAGCTCACAAAGGAAGTCATGACATGCATCGGCTTTCGATTTTTGGATATGTTTGATGCGCTGAAGAACCAAGGTTGTTGCATTCGTGTTATGTACCATGGATAAGTAGGATTGTTGCTGCCGGAGGGAGTTTTTGAACCTTTCAAGTTGTTTGCTGTTGAGCTCTCCCAATCGCCAATATAACTGTCCGAGAATTTCTAGTAACACGACACTAGGCCCTTCAGTCACCATCCACCGGCGAATGACCAGTAAGTTTCTACGACTGTTTCTCTGATTGCCTTCTGTGGGAAGGTCTATAACTCGGCTGAGTAGCCTGTCGATGTGTGTGCAATCAAGACAACCGTAGTCTGGCGATATGGACAAGTGTTGTAGTGCATCAGCTGCCGACTCTAGAGCTTTTGCGAGTCGTCGATCAGCGTCCATATTTGTGCAAATCTCGACTTGTGAGAAAGAAGAATGAAGAATGAATTAACGCTGCGTGTGAGTTCTACTTCCTGCTTTCTTTGGGAAACAGAGAAATCAAAGCTAAACATATGAAGTGAAAGAGGAGAAAAGCCGCAAGAGAACAAGAGAAAATAAGACAACAGGAAGATATATGGCACGTTAAAAACAAAAGGGACAGAAAGAAAGAAAACCGAAGATTGAAGACGAGCAAAACAATTGTTTATTCTCGCCATCAGAAGTATAGACATATATCAACTCCACCCAGAAAAGCCAAATTAGCAACAGCCATTCCCCAAATCGGAGCCAAAATCCACTACTGCAGGAAGAGTAAGGCGAGGTGAGATGAGAAATCCATTTTGGTCGGCCAACGGCCGCTGTTGCAGATAGTCTGACAAGAAAAAGGTACGTCGATATGCCTCCATCGAGCCACGTTTAGCACCTGATAGGCACGGTAGGCGCTGTTCCGAAAAAAGGGTTCGCGGGGGAAAAGTCGTCTGACGAGAGCTTGAGGAGTGGATATGAGTGTAGATCTGGGTTGTCAGGACAGACTGGGTTTACCTAGGTACTGGGAATTCCATGGAAGCCGGGGGGGGGGGATTGTTCATTCATCAGGTAGTAGTGCTGGACCCTGAATCGACTTCTCTACAAGTGAACTACCTACCGCCGGTGACATTGACTTCCCCCCTCTCCTTCAGCCGCGTCAGCCGCCAAACCGCGCCCTCTCAACATAGATACCTACAGACATATCGAACCAGCTCTCATCTCCAAACCACAGCAGTACGGTACCCGTCCAAGGGCCTCGCCAATCTGCCCGCGCTCTGAAAATAGCCCCACTACACCACCCCGCATACCAAAGCGAAACACGCTGCATCTTTCGAAACGTCAAACTCGTCAAAGACATGCAGGTCGCTGGATTATGGTATATGCATGCATGCATAGCAAATCCAAGACTAGCCATAGGCCAGGTCCATTGATCAAGTTAGATACCATACCGTACTCTACGCTGCTGTGAGCAAACGCCCGAAGCCCTGCCCTCCTGGATCCACGAATCCCGCACCACCCCTACCCTGCACATAAGCACCAAAAATACCGCCCGCACGTACGGTACCCAACTCTTGCCGTTTCAAGTTTCACGTCGCATGCATGCATTCCCAATCATACCTCTTTCACAGACCACACATTTTCCCACACCCAGGTACCCGCAAACTTTTGTCGGCGCGCATGGGTACGGTATCTAACCCCCGCCCATTGCATCTCACACGAGATCTACGCGCGCAGATGTACAGATACCGTGTCATTAAGTATTCCCCTTGCACTACTCGCCGACTCACGCAAACGGAGAAAGAATATCGTGTTTCTGGCGATGAGCGAGGTAGAGTTGCCCATGAGTTGAGGTGTCTGATCCTTTTCCCCAGCGACACGCGGAAGGAAAAATGTGGGCTGTGGTGTGTATCTAGACTCGCATTGTATGGTCTTCTCAAGGGTGTGATGGGTTGGGCGGGATAATGTTTACTATTAGGAGGATGAGTTTGAGTTGAGGGGAGTTTAGAGATTTAGACAAGTGGGTGGACGGGGCGCGGAGATGAGATTCTGCAAGAAGAGGAGGTGTGCCTCGCCCATAGTGTGTGACAAACAATTACTATCTAACAC